AACAGAGTTTTGAGTTACATTTTCTGTAAGCCTAGAAAAGAAGTGCCATGGTAGCTTCCCAAAGGGAGGAGCATTTAAGACTGGACCTTGAATGGTGAGTTATTTTGGCGAGTAGTTGTTGTGGGGAGGGCAATAACTAATAGAGATACACACAAAGTGAACAAAGGCCTGGAGGTAATTAAGTGCAATTTTTTGGAGGGTGGGGTGGATTTTGGTGTGGTTAGAACAATGATTGAATAAAGGAATGGCTTTGTGAGACTTATTTTACCCCCATATAATTACAATCAACTCCCCTCCCATATACACACATCCAAGCATGTAATTTATGTACAGAATGACACCTAATGCAGCTTCAGGATAAATCCCTAAACCCCTGTTTGAACCATACTGCTAACCAAAAATTCTTCCTATATAGAAATCCTACATCCAAACTCTAGGGCAGTTGTATCCAATAGAAATTTCTGCAACAGTGGAAATGTTCCATACTTGCATTGTCCAGTACAGTAGCCACTAGCCACATGTGACTCTATAATACTTGAAAAGTGGCTACTGCAACTGGGAACTGAAGTTTTTAATTTAATTTAAATTTTAAAATCTAAACAGCCATATGTGCCAGGTGGCTACTGCATTGGACAGTGCAGTTCTAGGCTATAGAGTTTGTCGGCATGATTGACAGAAGATAAGGGTAGAAGATAAATTGTTTCATACTGAATGCTGTGGATATTGAGACAGTGATAGGTTAAAAGGATATATTGGGGTGATAGGAGACTAAAGCCATTTATAGTGAAAATGAACTAAGGTAAAAATATGACCAAACAGATAAAATTGCAAAAATATTTAAGATATTTAAAGCAATTTTTAAAAAACGTGTTTATTCTATTTATCTGAAATTACTTGATTTTCAATTTGAAATATAACTCGCTAGATCTATCTTGAGTAGTTTTACAGATTATAAATATGAAGCATCCATGTACCTCTGGTCACAGAGAAATTTTAACAATATGACATATTCACTATGAAACTAAAAAAATGGTATTTGAATTTTTTTAACTAGCTGTTTTATTTATTTATTTTTTAAACTTGTCTCTTTATTGTTGACTATATTATACATGTCCTTTTTTCCCCCCATTAATCTCCTCCTCCTCAATCCCGCTCCCCTCCTGCCTTCCCCACATTATTGTCCGTGTCCATTGGTTATGCATATATGCATAAAGTTCTTTGGCTTATTTCATCCAGCCCTCCCTCCCCCCTTCCCTTTGAGGTTCATCAGTCTAATAACCAATTTGTACTCCTTAATTCCTTCACCTTTAAAATTTTTTTTTTTTATTCCTTCACCTTTTTCACCCATCCTACAGCCCCCTCCCATCCGGCAAGCAACAAAAAGTTCTCAGTATCTGTGAGTCTTTTTTTGTTCTGCTTACTCATTTTGTTTGTAGATTCAATTGTTGATAGATATGTATTAATTGCCATTTTATTGTTGATATTTTTGTTCTCCTTCAAGAAGACCCTTCAACATTTCATGTAATACTGGTTTGGTGGTGGTGAACTCCTTTAGCTTTTTCTTGTCTGGGAAACTCTTTATATGTCCATTGATTCTAAATGATAGCTTTTCAGAATAGAGTAATCTTGGTTGTAGGTCATTGCTTTTCATCCTCTTGAATATCTCTTACCACTCCTTTCTGGCCTGCAAAGTTTCTTTTGAGAAATCAGCTGACAGTCTTATGGGAGCTCCTTTGTAGGGTACTGACTGCTTTTCTCTTGCTGCTTTTAAGATTCTCTCCTTGTCTTAAACCTTTGGCATGATGGGATCGCTGGATCAGTAACACATGATTTAAAGAGAGACGTATGCTCTCTTGATAACCTGTTATTTTAATGTAAATCACGCCCTCTTAGAAATTATAGTCCTTTGTAGCTTTAATTCATTCTACCTACATTTGAAGGTGAAATGCAGAAGGATTTTCCTTCTTCATTCTGTAGGATACAAGAGCTCACATCTTATTGTTGTCTTGGAGTGGACCTCTTTGGGTTCATCTTGTTTGGGACTCTCTGTGCTTCCTGGGCTTGTATGTCTGTTTCCTTCACCAAGTTAGAAAAGTTTTCTGTCATTATTTTTTCAAATAGGTTTTCAATTTCTTGCCCTCTTTCTTCTCCTTCTGGCACTCCTATGATGCGAATGTTGGTACACTTGAAGCTGTCCCATAGGTTCCTTATGCTATCCTCATTTTTTTTTTAATCCTCACCCAAGGACACTTTTCCATATTTTATTCAGATAGAGTAGGAGAGAGAGAGAGAGAGAGAGAAGCATCTATGTGAAAGAGACACATCGAGTGGTTGCCATCCACACAACCCAACCAGGGCCAGGGACAAACTGCAACCGAGGTACATGCCCTTAGCAGGAACCGAACCTGGGTCTCCCTGGACCGCAGGCCAAAGCTCTAACCGCTGAGCCAAACCGGCCAGGGCTATCCTCATTTTTTTGTATTTTTTTTTCTTTCTGCTGTTCTGATTGAGTGGTTTTTGCTTCTGTGTATTCCAAATTGATGGTTTGCTTCTTGGCTTCACCTACTCTACTATGATTCCCTGTAAATTATACTTTATTTCAGTTAGTCCTTCATTTCTGACTGGTCCTTTATTATACTTTGAGGCCCTCACAAAGTTTATTGAGTGTCCTTATAAGCAGTGTTTTGAACTCTGCATCTGTTAGATTACTTATCTCCATTTCATTTAGTTCTTTTCCTGGAGTATTGTTCTGTTCTTTCATTTGGGACATGATTCTTTGTCTCCTCATTTTGGCTGCCTCCCTGTGTTTGTTTCTATGTATTAGGTAGAGTTGCTATGTCTCCTAGGCTTCTTAGGCATCCTGTAGAATCCAATGGCACAGTCTCCCTGGTCACCCGGCTGGGCCCTCGAGGTGCACCCTTTGTGTGGATTTTATACTCTTCCGTTGTAATTGAGTCTTGATTGCTGTTGGTATGTCAATGGGAGATATTTATTCAGGCTGATCAGCTGCAAGGACTGGCTATTCCCACTGACCACTGGCCTCTGACTACCTTGTATGATCAGCTGTGCAGGGGCCCACCACACAGAGCAAGACTTACTTTAGCAGGGTTGTGGTATCCATTGAGTCCACTCATTTGAGTGTGTCACATGTGGAGGTGGTTGGGTGGTGGTGCTTCTATGTGATCTGAAGCTGTCCACTGGGTGTGCTGGCTCTGGGGTAAGGTCAGCTACTGCCTGTGTTCTACCTGGGGTCGCCCGGCGTAAGCTACAAAGTATTTCTTGTGCTGGGCTTGAAGGTGCCCAGGCAGAGCCAAGTTGTGAACCATAGCTGGCTGCTTCTAGTGCCAGGCCTGGGGCCACTAAACAAGAGGTATGGGGCTCGCAGAGACCAGATACTTCTTTTTTGAGAGATTTTACAAAAATCTGAAGCAAGATCCAAGATAAAACAATTCTATTGTAAAGCCATTATGAACAGCTTGGGTGGGCTTGAAAGTTGGGTGGGGCAGGGCCTTGGGGAATCACAGGGTGAGGCAAAGAGCTTGAACCAGGTTGTTGGAGTTCCGAATATGGTGGCCTGTCTGTTGCCCCGGGGAAGGGCTCACCAAAGGTTCAATGGCCTCCACCAGCACATCTGTCCAGGAGAAAGCTGCCTCCCCAGCCCTTGCTCCGATGCCAAACAACTCAGTTCTTTCCCATATGTTTCTGGTGCCTTTCAAGCTGCCTCTCTTCTGTACTGGAGCTCAGAGGGAGCAAGTCTTAGTAAGTCTATGTGTGGGCCCTTTTAGAGGAGCTGCTTGGGGCTCCAGCAGCCTCAGCCTCCTTCAGCCTCAGTTCCTGCTGGTTTTTTGTTTTGTTTTGTTTTATTTATCCTCACTTCTCTTCCTGTCACTGGAACCCTGAGCTGGCAGCCTGGTGTGGGTGGGGACCCCTCACTCCTCAAGGAGGACCTTCCCAGTTGAGGTGACCCTCCTAATTTGTATCCGCCACATGTGGGTGTGGGACCAGCCCATCTGTGTGCCTCTGCTCCTCCTACCTGTCTCCATGTGGATTCTTTTTTTTTTTTTTTTTAATCCTCATCCAAGGATATTTTTACATTTATCTTCAGACAGAGTGGGAAGGACAGAGAGAAACATCGATGGGTTGCCACCCTGAGGTACGTGTCCTTGGCTAGAATCGAACCTGGGACTCCCTGGTTTGCAGGCCGATGCTCTTACCGCTGAGCCAAACTGGCTAGGGCCTCCATGTGGCTTCTTATTTAATTTCGTAGTTGTAGGACTTCCATTCAGCTCGATTTCAGACAATTCTGAATGATGGTTGTTCTGTACTTTAGTTGTAATTTTGATGTGGTTGTGGGAAGGGGCGAGTACTGGGTTTACCTCCAACACAGCCTTTTTTTTTTTTTTAATCCTCACCCGAGGACACTTCTCCATTTTTTGTTCAGATAGAGTGGGGGGTGGGAGAGAGAGATAGAGAGAAACATCAACATGAAAGGGACACATCGAGTGGTTGCTACCCACACAACCCAACCAGGGCCGGGGACAAACCAAGGCACGTGCCCTTAGTGGGAACCAAATCCGGGTTTTTCCAGACCACAGGCCAATGCTCTAACCACTGAGCCAAATCGGCCAGGGCCAACACAGCCATCTTGACCAGAACTTACTTGGTACTTGAATTTTAATGTCTTTCCAGATATCACTGACATCTTGGCTTACATTTGTTTTTGTTTATTTTATTTTATTTTTTTTTATCCTCACCCGAGGATACTTTTCCATTTTTTGTACAGATAGAGTGGGAGGGAGAGAGAGGAAGGGAGAGAGAGAGAAACATCGACTTGAAAGGGACACATTGAGTGGCTGCCACCCGCACGACCAACCAGGGCCGGGGACAAACTGCAACCGAAGTACGTGCCCTTAGCGGGAACCGAACCCGGGTCTCTCCGGACCACAGGCCGACGCTCTAACCGCTGAGCCAAACCGGCCAGGGCTGTTTTTGTTTATTTTTTAAGTATGGAACGCTTCATACTTGCGTGTCATACTTGCACAGGGACTGTGCTGATCTTCTCTGTATTGTTCCAGTTTTAATATGTGTGCTGCCGAAGCGAGCACATTGGCTTACATTTATTAAAACTTAAATATATTTAGGCATATGATAATAACATGGCTATTGGTAGTGAATGATATGACTGCTAATGACAAAATATATGAAGTCTGAATCATTTTGGTCTAGTATGACCAAAATGTTAATGATTAATTTGTTTGTCATAGTAATTTATTTATTTATTTTTTTATTCTCACCCGAGGAAATTTTTCCATTTTTTGTTCAGATAGAGTGGGAGGGAGAGAGAGAGAGAGAAACATCGACACAAAAGGGATACATCGAGTGGTTGCCACCCTCACGACCAACCAGGGCCGGGGACAAACTGCAACCGAGGTACGTGCCCTTAGCGGGAACCAAACCTGGGTCTCTCTGGACCGCAGGCTGACATTCTAACCGCTGAGCCAAACCGGCCAGGGCTGTCATAGTAATTTAAAGATTTTATTTGAATTTTGTCTAATATCTTAGTCTCCATGCACATCTCTCTTAGATTTATTTATTATTTATTATTATTTTTTAAAATATATTTTTATTGATGTTTTTTAGATAGGAAGGGAGAGGGGGAGAAAGACAAATATAGATAAGAGAGAAACATCAGTTGGATACCTCCTGTGTATCCACACTGGCGATCAAGCCCACAACCTGGGCATGTGCCCTGACCGGGAATCGAACCAGCAGCCTGTCAGTGCATGGGACGACACTCAATCCACTGAGCCACGCCAGCTGGGCTATTGTTTATTTTTGTTAATTTGTTTTATTGACCTTAGAGAGAGGAAAGGAGGGGGGGGGAGAGAGAGAGAGAGAGAGAGAGAGAATATTGACAGGTTGCCTCCTGTACATGCTCCGATTGGGGTATCCAACCCAAAACCTAGGTATGTGTCCTGATCGGGAATCAAACCTGCCACCTTTTGGTGCAAGGGAAGATGCTCCAGCCAACTGAGTCACACTGGCTAAGGCCATCTTTCTGCAATTTACTTCTTTTTTTTATCCTCACCCGAGAACATTTTTGCATTTATCTCCAGACAGAGCAGGAGTGAGAGGGGGAGGAAGAGAGAGAGAGAAACATCAGCGTGAGAGAGACACATCGACTGGTTGCCACCCACACGACCCCTAATGGGGCCGGGGAAAAACTGTAACCAAGGCATATGCCCTTAGTGGGAACCCAACCCGGGCCTCACTGGTCCACAGGCCAGTGCTTTAACCACTGAGCCAAACCAGCCAGGGCTTTTTTTTTTTTTTTAATAGAGCAGGAGGGAGAGAGGGAGGAAGAGAGAGAGAGAAATATCAATGTGAGAGAGACACATCAACTGGTTGCCACCCACACGACCGGGGCCAGGGACAAACTGCAACCAAGGCACGTGCCTAGTGGGAACCAAACCCTGTACTCTCTGGTTTGTGGGCCGTCGCTCTAACTGCTGAGCCAAACCAGCCAGGGCTCTTTCTGCAATTTAAAATATGAAGTCTGAAATGCATCATTAGTTACATTAGCCTTCTTAGAGTTCTTTAATCAAAATTAAGTATTATTTAACAAGCAAGAACAGGAAACTAAAACTAAGTATTTAAAAATATGAAAGAAACTACAGGTACAAACAACATGGGTAAATTTTAGTGACATAATATGGTAACCTGTTTATAAAATCCAAAAGCTAGGCTCAGGGTTATGGTTAACCTTGAAGTTCAAGGGAGAACAGGGGAGACATGAGGACAAGATGAGAGAGTGAATACATAGGTAGATATATTCTTTTTTTTTTTTTTATTGTTATTGATTTGAAAGAGAGGGGGAGAGAGAGAGAGAGAGAAAGAAATAGCTATTTGTTGTTCCACTTATTTATATATTCATTGGTTGTACCTGGCCAGGGCCTGCAAACTCTTTTAGGAGAGTTGTTCCTATCCCAGCCCTATACTGTATATTCTCTCTCTCTTTCTCTCTGTCTCTCACACACACATCTCTCTTACACACACACACACACACACACACACACACACACACACACCTCACTGAGCCTTTAGTGATACCTGAACCAACAAAATGCCATTCATAGGCTGAGCTGAGCCAAACAAAATATTGTGAGAGAGGCTATCTGTGAACTAAGATTCTGCAACAGATGGAACTTTCAGCTGAATTGTATCAATGCAAAACTCTCTACATACATACATGCTACAGAAACCAGAGCTGCCATAATTTTTGTCTTGATTGTTCAGTTTTCCTGGGACTCCACATAATTATTTTTTTTTACAGTAAATTTTTTTTACTTGTGCTAATCTGAGTAAATTTCTGATCTTTAACCAACAAATGACCTGATTTAGAATTAACTATTGGATTTCATGAAGTCTTAACCATGACCCATGAACCTAGCTTTACTGGGACTAATGGTGCCTCCAAATTCATGTCCACCTCATGATGTGACCTTATTTGGAAGTAGGGTCTTTGCGAATGTAATTAGTTAAAATGAAGTCACACTGGGTGAGGGTGGCACTAAATGAATGACTGGTGTCCTTTTTTTTGGTACGTGCCCCTAATGGGAACCGAACCCGGGACTCTCTGGTTCACAGGCCGATGCTCCAACTGTCGAGCCAAACCGGCCAGGTGTGACTGGTGTCTTTATAAGAAGACATGCAGAGAATAAGGCTATGTGACAACAGAGTCAGAGATTGGAGTGATGGAGCTGCAAGCCAAGGAATGCCAAGGATTACTGGCAAGCACCAAAAGTAAGGAAAGAAGCAAGGAAGGGAGAGGGGGAGAGAAATAGAAGCAAGAAAGGGATCCCCTTTTTAGCCCTAAGGGAGTAGGGCCCTGCTAACACCTTAATTTTTGACTTTTGGCTTCCAGAACAGTAAAATAATGAATTTCTGTTCTTTTAAGCCACTGTGTTTGTGGTACTTTGTTGCAACTAATACACCAGCCATACTTGTAACTTGTCTTAAAAATGGGTTGTTTAGTAGCTGTAAGAAAGCAAAAACATTTTACCTTCTGAGAAACAAATTTCATCATTCTCATTTTTTAAACTAAATGTTGCTTTTGAAAAAGACTTGTAGAATATTTATAAACTGACCAACAACTTATTTCTACGTTTTTCTCAGTTGTATTAAATTTGTGAATGTCATTTTATCTCTAGAATCTGCATTTTCGTTTTTTCACTTATTCATATTCTTATGAAATAAGAATATGCAAACAAATATTTAAAAAATTAGATAACTAAGATGGAGAAACTGCAAAAATGGAACTATTGGTTGGCAAACAGCTCCACCAAGCTTTGGCTCAAAGTATTTGTAAACTGATATGCAAAAGTTCAAAACTGATATTTTAAAAGCAGTTTAAGGGAGGGGAAGGGAGGAATCAGTGGGGGGGAAAGGAGAAACATCTGTAACAAAAATAAATTAATTAATTAATAAAAAATAAAAAAATAAAAGCAGTTTAAGAATAATACGGCCCTGGCCGGTTTGGTTCAGGGATTAGAGCGTCAGCCTGCGATCCAGAGAGACCTGGGTTCGATTCCCGCTAAGGGCATGTACCTCGGTTGCAGTTTGTCCCAGGCCCTTGTTGGGTAGTGCGGGTCTCAGCCACTCGATGTGTCCCTTTCACATCAGTGTTTCTCTCTGTCTCTCTCTTCCTCCCACTCTATCTGAACAACAACAACAAAAACAAACAAAAAAATATCCTCGGGTAAGGATAAAAAAAAAAAAAAAAGTCCTAGGTCTACTATTAAAAGAAAAAAAAAAAAAAAGAATGAGAATATGTCCCTGGCTCGTTGCTCAGTGGTTAGAGCATCGGCCCGTGGACCAATGAGTTGCAGATTCGATCCTGGTCAAGGGCATGTACCTTGGTTGTGGTTTGTCCCTGGCCCTGGTGGGGTCGTGCGGGAGGCAACCAGTCGATGTGGCTCTATCACATCAATGTTTCTCTGTCTCTCTGTCTCTCTGTCTCTCTCTCTCTCCATTCCTTCCACTCTATCTGATAATAAGTGGAAAAATATCCTCAGGTGAGGAATAAAAAAAAAAAGAATAAGAATATGTAATGTTCTAAATGAGGTTGTGCAAAATTCAATGGACTAAAGGCAAGGTCAGCTGGTTTAATAATCAAGTAATTATTTATGTTCATTTTATTAACTAAGAATTTTATAAGTGCAATGTTTTCTATAACTATAACCATCAAGTGTCTATTATGGTTGGCAGATTGTAAGAATGCGTAGCTCAACTTCAAATTTCTGGTTTAACTAGAAATGTAACCACATCGGAACTGGTAGCCAGCACTATCTGACTTGTCCAAGGAATGTGCTGAATTTGCGCAACTTTTGTCTTCTAAAATTTTCCAAATAATTCCAGAAACTGAATAGTTCTTGATAAATACTATTTTAGTAAAACTATTCAGAGCTCAGTTATGCATAGACTTGCCTGGAAACTAAAGAAAATTAAGCAGAGAATCTGTAGGAAATTTAATAAGAGCAGTTTCACCTTCTAATCATAACAGATTTGTCATGATTTTCAGGGGGTAGGAAGTTCACTGTTAATTGAATTTTTGGTAAATTGAAATTTACCCAGAAAACTGTTTCTTTCCTCTATTGAAAATATTTCTAGTGTATATCAGTTCTTTTTCCGTTTTTAGAAAGCACAGGACAGGACAGTGAACACAATAAGAACATGGTATTTGAATATACCCCAGTGCTTCAGGATTTGTCATTCTGAAAGCCACTTTAAATTTGCAAAACTGTAGTTGTAGAATCAGAGATTGATTGGGCCTAACATGTACTGAGACTAGAACTTTCCATGGAATTTAGTTTTGTCTCCATGTGTGTTGGGTTTTTAAAAAATAGAATGGAGAGAGGCCAGTTAAGAACCTCTGTAAGCCCTGGCCGGTTTGGCTCAGCGGTTAGAGCGTCGGCCTGTGGTCCAGAGAGACCCGGGTTTGGGTTCCCGCTAAGGGCACGCACCTCGGTTGCAGTTTGTCCCCGGCCCTGGTTGGGTCGTGCAGGTGGCAACTACTCGATGTGTCCCTTTCACATCGATGTTTCTC